CGGCCATATTTATCCTGCAGACTTCGTAGTCCTACAGCGTTGCTCGAGAGATGTCATCCTTGGCATGGACTTCTTATGCCTCCAGGGTGCTGTCATCAACCTAAAAACAAAGTCGATAACGTTATCCACAGAAGAAGCACTACCGCCGCGCACGCCGTCAGGAAACCATGCCTTGAAAGTGCTGCAAGAACAAGTCACCATTCCGCCTCACTCCAGCGTCATTATTTCAGTCGGCGCTCCTAAATCACCCGACTTGGAAGGCGTTGTTGAAGGCAGTCAGCATCTGTTGGTCACCCGAATTATTTGCGTCGCAAGAGGAATTGCAGAGCTGCGGGGAGGCAAAGCAACGGTTATGTTCACGAATTTCAGCAATGAGTACAAACATGTGAACAAAGGAACAATGGTCGCATACATCGAAGAAATTGTGAACGCCACCAGTGCTTTTGCCCTCGCCGATTCTGCGAAACCTGCTCAGAGGAATCAAGCACCTCCCACAGCTTTCGAGGCCAATCCCAGACTTCCGAACTATAAGTAAGAACGGCTCAAGGCCCTGCTCCTGCAATACGAAGATTGCTTTTCATCGTCATCAAAAATTCGGCAAACCCCAATCACGAAACATCGCATCATATCCGAAGAAAATGCCAGACCACTCCCTCAGAGTCCGTACAAGGTTCCGACGCGAGATCGCGAGACCATGAAGAGACAAGTTGATGAAATGCTGCGGGATGACATTATCCAGCCGTCCAAGAGTCCATGGGCATCCCCCGTGGTGTTAGTGAAGAAAAAGGATGGGACCCTACGTTTCTGCGTCGATTATCGCCGCCTGAACAAAATCACAAGAAAGAACGTGTATCCTCTCCCACGAATAGACGACACACTTGATCGGCTCTATAACGCCAAGTACTTTTCGTCAATGGACCTCAAGACTGGCTATTGGCAAATCGAAGTCGACGAAAGAGACCGAGAGAAGAGGGCGTTTATAACACCGGACGGCCTCTTCGAGTTTAAGGTAATACCATTCGGTCTTCGCTCAGCGCCTGCAACTTCTCTACGCGTTATTAATACAGTACTGGCAGTATTGAAGTGGCAGACTTGCCTTGTGTACTTGGACAATGTCGTCGTGTCTCCCTCGAGTTTCGACGAGCATCTTCGGCGCCTTGAAGCTGTACTTCAAGCCATCAAGAAGTCCGGACTCACATTGAAGCCAGAAAAGTGCAGATTTGCGTACGAAGAGCTCTTGTTTCTGAGGCACGTGATTAGCAAGTCTGGAGTTCATCCCGCTCCACGGGAAACCGCCGCTATCGCCGACTTCCCGCCGCACACTGACAAGAAGGCGATGCGCCGATTTCTGGGCCTGTGTGCCTATTATAGGCGGTTCGTGAAAAACTTCGCCCGCATTGCCAATCCACTCACTAACCTTACCAAGGCCGACATGAAGTTCAAGTGGCAAACGCCGCAGAAACACGATTTCCAGGAGCTTAAACATCGCCTCCAAACACTTCCGTTACTTGCCCATTTCAACGAATTTGCGAGACAGAAATACACACTGACGCAAGCAGCGAATGTCTTGGCACCGTTCTTGTGCAGAGGGCTGACGGACTTGAAAGGGTTATTAGTTACGCCAGGCGATTGCTACCCAAAGCAGCCAATTATTCCACAACAGAAAAGAAGTGCCTCGCCATCATCTGGGCTACGTCGAAATTTCACCCCTACTTCTACGGCAGGCCCTTCAAAGTTGTGAGCGACCACCACGCCTTGTGTTGGCTAGCCACCTTGAAGGACCCTTCAGGTCGCCTCGCACGGTGGAGCCGGAGACTTCAAGAATATGACATTACCGTCGTTTACAAGTCCGGCAAGAGACACTCCGACGCCGACTGTCGCTCTCGTGTGCCTGTCGACCAACCGCTACCCGACAACCCGGATAACGACTACTTTTTGGGAACGATAACTATCTAAGACTTCGCTGAACGACAGCAAGCCGACCCGGAACTTAAGGCCCTAATAGAATACCTCGAAGGCAGGACCGCCGAAGTCCCTGAAGGTATTCAAGCGCGCACTTGCGTCGTTCTTCCTGCGAAACGGTGTTCTCCAAATAAAAACTTTTCACCGCTTCGAGCCAAGTACCTTCTTGTGGTGCCTTCAGCTCTGCGACCAGAGCTCCTGCAGGCCCTGCACGACGATCCAACAGCAGGGCACCTCGGTGTTTCTCGCATGCTCGCGAGGATACAAGAAAGGTACTATTGGCCACGTCTTACCACCGACGTCACTCGTTTTGTGAGGACATGCCGGGACTGTCAAGGACGCAAGACACCACCGACAAGGCCGGCGGAACTTCTGCAGCCGATTGAACCACCTCGCCAACCTTTCCAGCAGATTGGTATGGACCTACTGGGACCATGGACGGACGGAAGCAAGAACGAATGGACGGATGAATGCTTCACCCCACTCTCCATCATTCACTTCGTGGGTATGCTGCCATTTTTTGTATTATTACTGTATCGTAATTTATTTATTGTACTTTCTTGTATTATTGTTGTACATTCATCTTTAATTAAAGCATCGGGACGATGCCTTTTTCAGAGGGGGGCAACGCCCCGTTCTATTTCTCAAGTTTTGTTAGGTTTTCCCACGGTTTTCTCCGTGGGAACGGTCAAACTGTTTGGCTCTAAGCCGGTGCGTCCCGTAGTCTAATCCTTGTTCGGGGTACATCGAGGTCGTCCACGACCTTGCAGACGCCGCCGCAATTACAAAAGGATCAATCGTCGGCGGCGACGTTCCAAGAAGAGCACCCCATTCTGCACTTCTCGGCTACCTTTCAGGTGCCCGTCCCCACGGTCATTGGGGAAGTACGGCGCCCGTTAATTGCCATGACGCGGGGCCCCCAAAAATGGCCGTCCGTGACAGTGCAACACTAGCTGAACAGTGAATAGAGCAAGGTTTCTCGGGGCTCCTGACCTGTAACGCCAGCTCTATACAGCAATCTGATTGCATTTTAGGAGAGCAGTGCACACTTGAATGCTCTATACAGCAATCTGATTGCATTTTAGGAGAGCAGTGCACACTTGAATGCGGTCCCACACAACAAGACGGCAGTTTTTGGTGGCCCAGCACGTTCAGGTAGTCACCTCTTAAAAGCATGCATTAGGCTCAAAGTGGCACTACACCACCCGGGTGCCTGAACAAATAGCTGCAGATGCTTACTGCAATAAAAATTTTCGTCGGCATAAACTCAAACTAGTGCGTTTGTCAGTGGTCACCACCTCGGCTTCAGTTTTTCCTGGCGATTACATTCAAAGCCATCGCAGTAATTGTTCGGAAGTCGAAATGATTGGCCGGCCAATCCCTGCACTTATCAAAATGACTGAAAACAGTTTGAGGCACATTCTGGCGTCTGCGAGTTAAGGGATGCACTAAAGCTTTATGGCACAAAATGTTCTCGTGGTACGCAGTTAGTACGCACTAAACAGAAGGCATAGGACGACCCACAATGGCTAAAGCGGCCAGCAAATGCATTACTCTCTATGAGATTTGGTATGAGATTTGGTCGAAGACTCATTGCAACAATTTTTTTAACCGTTAATTCGCTTAAAGTGGGTACGTACTAACCAGGCTTGACTGTACATAAGGTGAGAGGCCACTTTTCCACTGAATGTTTCAGCTAAAGTTTATTCCTGTGAAATATAGATGAGAGCATGCCTATCTTGCACGAAGGCGCTTTCGGCGGTATACCCTCGCTCCCAGAGACTCCATAATCTGTTTGTAACTGCCAAGACGTGCCTCTCCAGCATGGCAAGCAGTGGCTCTGGGACTTCGAAATGTGAAAAAAAGCGCCTGTTCACACTGCGCCAGCTTATAAGAAGTCTTCTGGGTACCACTGCGCAGTCTTTGGATGCAAAAACGATCAGCCCAAGAGTAAGACACTACTCAGAACTGTCTGTGAAGATCCCAACATAATGTGGCAACTGTGCGGCTGCGGTGTTTTCCGATTGCATTGATTTCCATCCGCAAAAAAACGCCAAGCTCCGTTGCCAGTTGATATAATTGCAATCAGCCGGGAAAACGACGAGTCCAGTAAAAGTGTACGAGTAAATATAATTATCGCGTTTTTAACATGACGCCAGCTGTTCCACTTTACAGCAGCGATTTGCAGTATGCCTGTATGGCACCAAATCATTTCCGCACTCTTTCGCCGGCTGCACGCCACTAATAGGATATATAATGACTCGCACATGGATGCAAGCACCGCACAGATATACAATTGCAACGGCGTACTACAGTGATGCACTGAGACGCAAACGGCACGAGAAGCATAGCTTTCGACTCAGTCAAACTGCGGCATGTCTTGACTCACTAGGTGAATCTGTACTTTCGGTCGGCGTCCCCGTGTTTTAAAATCTTGTTCTGGTTCGCATTTTCGCACTGCATGTGTGTTCCCAGTGCCCGGTATGAGTGGCAAATGATGAACACATGCAGTGGGTGAGCGCAAGTCGGAGCGAGATTCTAGCGCTACGTTGACACCAACTTGCAGCACCAATTCTGCCTTGACACAGCCAAGGCACGCCTGAGGGCGATTGAGTCGAAAATAACACTTTCTGCTGTTCACGTTTCTTTCAATCGCAATAGTACGTATCTGATGAAGTTGCTTCCATAGTCTGCGATGCACGTGCTGTAGACATTCCGGACTGTCGAGGAAGGTCTCCTGAAGTATCACACGAAATAAGCACAAAATTCCTGGAGCGAAAGAGCGCGAAACATGCTTACAGTCGGACTCGGATTGTTCAGTTTCGCGATTGAATTGCGGAGCGTCTGCTCGCATGGCAGTGCCTGGGTGTTGCATCACCGCACTTGCAACAGATTGCGCGACACGCTTTTCAATATGCCAGCCCGCTCTGAGCTCGCTCTGTTCTGGTGTATAGCATGTTAATACATGTGGCACATCCCCGATATGTGTTCAAAGTAAAAAAAAAATTCACAGAGGGCAGGCCTGTAAATGTACTCACTTTTTGGTGTGGCCTGGGAAGTAGCGAATATACTTGTTGTCATGCAGGGACAGGTACCTTATTGTGTCTGCAAAGAAAGAGATAAAAACCGATTTGGATCAGTGGCCATATCTGTTGATCAGTGAATATGATAGTGTGTTCTAAACAGGCCCCCCACCAAACGTGCCTTCAAAGGACCGCATCAAATAACGATGCCAATAGTTAGCTTCAAATAAGATGCCGAAGGCATGCTGGCTCCAGAGGAGGCGTCCCTCCGAACACCCAGCCAGTTTTTAACCAAGTAGGAGCTTCAAATGATAAAGAAATCGAGACAGTGCTGCTCACAGACTCAAACGATACGATAAATTTTTTACTATAACAACTAGTATTCACAATTGCTCAATGTAGCCACATCTTGTCGAGAGAAATGTGGTCTCAAAAAACAATGCCAACTATGATATATACGCAAGTGTCAAAATTACGCTGATTTGATCTGAACTAGAGACAGAGCAAACGAAAGTACACGAGTTTCTAAGTCATAATCTGTTTTCTTTCAATCTGCAAGTACTGTATCTTGTAACTACCTCATGCCTTCTCATGTTTTCGCTGCGCTATGCACCAGTGAGTCGTGCCCAAAATACTGGAACCATGGCACAACCCAATATTATCATGTGGAGAAGAGCAATGGTGCAGTTGGTTGGTGAAGTGTTATGATGTAGCGCCATCATTTGGCCCACACCTCAAGAAAGAAGCATTGAGAGGCGACGCCTTGCACTCAGTGAAGTAGTGTTCTGAATTGTGGGTAGTCTGCCTGACAGGAGAGACATGGAATCGCGGACTGTCTCAATGGAATTTCTGGTCAACACTACAGACCAGATGATCCCGTGTGTGAGTGTTTTTGAAAGAAGCACATTCAAGAAGCACCAAAAAAAGACTAACTTTTCTTGAATATACAATTTGAGTGTGATTTTATTCACTGTTTTCTCCATTACTATTAAACACATCAGAGTTAACCAACTAAGTGAGCATGTATGTGAAATGCTTGCACTGCCTTAAAGATCTCACACTAAAGAGAAATGATGACTTTGTTTAGATTGATAAACCACTTGCTGAGAACTAAAGGGGTCATGACATGGCCACCCAACGTGGCAATTGACTGTTTTCGGCGAAAGACGAAGATAGAGGGTGAAATATGCTGGTACATGTGTGAAAACTGGACCATAAAAGATTACTGCCGTTTAAAATAAGCTGTATAAGTCATAGACTGTACACTCTGCCCAACACCGGCGACCGCCATTTTGCCATGGCGTGTGTGATGTCACATGCCATTGTATGCTATCAAACAGCACCTACCACAGACAGTCAGTGCGTTCGCTGTGTTGTGAGCATTGCTTGCCGCGTGGTTCATGCGCATGAGTGTGTTGCAGTGTGTTACTGGTAACATCGCCATGTCGTCGGCCCCATCATTACCACATGATTGGGCCACCCACATGGTTCATCTAGCAGTAGAAACAAGACGACGTCGTGTACACTGCACATTTTGATGACTTCGACCCCTTCGCCACCAGCTCAAGAGACGAAGAGAGCGTCGAAGACTGGGGGAACACGAATGCCAACGACCTCGGTGTTGTGGCAGACGGTGCAGACAGCCCTTCACAACGATAAGTAGCTTTATTTCAAGCATGCCAGGTTGACAAGCAAGCATGAAATACGGGGTCTGTCGACGCTGCATTCGCGAGCAAGTTCTACTTTGCGCAGTGCAATTCGTAAAGCATGGAGATTTCTGTTCGCTAGCATACGTGCATGTACGACTTTCGGTGCTGAACATAATAAATAACTGTTCGTAACAATTTTGTGCGCTGAGACCGTTGTTTTTCCATCAATTGTTGTGCGCGGCATATATAGGCGTTAGTTGAACCGAACAGCAGGCATGTCAGTGCTGCGCTAGGATTACTCATCAATATACATTTTGCCGAATCTTTGCTTGAAATCCGTCTATAGCATTCGGTTCCGGTAAAAAGATAGCAAGTGTGATGCTTAACCATGGCACTGCCTGCGAGGAGTTTCGATAAATATATCTGTAGTGGCAAATGGCCTACGCGTTGCGCATTCACATGCCACTTTTTGACCTCAGACAGACCGACAAAAACCGTTTACTGCAAATACCAGTGCTACATGGTCGATGCGGTGATGTTGTTTCAACCACTGCAAGTCATTTAGTTCCAGTGGCAAGTTTAACAATGCAGAAAAAGCTCAATTGCAAGCTCATCTGATCATGGAACACGATCGTCCTCCGGAATGCAGACCGTGAAGCAGTTTCCTCAGCGAGCGGTTCGTTACGTCACGGCTAACAGGCGCGCCAATATTGCCCCGACTCTCAGGCACCTCGCTAGTTTATAAAAATATTCAATTATAATTTAACCGCACGACCAATTGCACTGAAATTTCGCCAGCTTGCCTGTGAATGTACAAGGATCAACACAAATTATGGCCGAAAATCAGGTGTAATGAGCCCTTTAAGCCATAGGTTTCACTATCATAAGTTCCATTATCAGTGAAGCAAATCAAGGTTCAAGTTACATTTTAGGAGCGAAGCTCCTCACGACATGGGTCATATGTCCCTTGTCATTGTCGTCATAGCAGCCACCTTTCGTTTAGTCTTTAGAATGTCCTCTGGATGGTGGCACTTCTATACGATGAATATATGATGAAAAGATGCAAGATGGTGGTACTTGGAGCATTCACTAGATGGACAGACAGATGCACGAACGGAAAGACACTTAGCCCCACTCATCATTCACTCAGTGGATATGCTGTGATTTCTTATATTTTTATGTCAACATCTCGACCCTTGACAAAAAATTTCTTAATAACTTTTTTGTATTTTCGCGAGAATGGCTCGATGAAATTTTCTGGAACCTGGTTTGCTGAGCCGATGGCACCCACAGATGACATGTACTTCACTTTTATCAATTAGCAACCAGTAGACGGTTTCAAAATTTATGATGTCACAGTTTTCGGTGCGAGAATCTTAAGTTGGCTTCTCCATCTGCATTTTCTTTGCACTTATGAAGCACCATGTCACTTTCAGAATGGCCTTTTTTAAAATTGTGAAATCGTATTTTACTATTATGTGAAAACTAGTTTTTCTCTGCATTATCCCTTTCAAGGGGTTGTGAAACGTTTCCTCAAAATTTACAACTACGTGTGTATATAGAACCCTGGCCATCCACTCAATACTAGACCTCGACCTGTTTCATTGTCGGAATTCATTTAATAGTTATAAAAGCACAATTTCGAATCCCTGCTGATGTTTCTCTCAACTGTGCAGCTTACGTGACATTAAAAAGAAGCTCTGGTGTAATCTCGACCATACTGAGATAATTCCGTTTTCAAAAAGTATTGACAGCCGTATAACAGTTAGGGTGGTTCATGTTGCCCAGACACTTCTGAATAACTTTAATGAAACTATGAATGATCAGTCAAAACGGGAACTGAAACAGAGAGCTTCTCCATCCTCCATGGTGGGTATCGGATGATGTCACAAAATTCAGTACAGTGAAAGCTCGTTATTTCACACCTCATTAATTCGAAATTTTGGATAATTCGAAATGGTCGCCGCAGTCCGGTTCGCAGTGCATTGGAGACCATGTGTAAAACGATTCGTTAATTCGAACAGAAATTGCTGCTTCTACGGGTAATTCGAAGCGCACGCCGCCCAGCGTCATCATCGTCAAACTCTAGTGGAAGCTTTTACGGTCGAACGATAAGTGGCATGACCAGTTTTTTCGAGCTTCAAGTGGCCTCCGAGCAAAGGGCGAGCAAAGTATGGCCTCCAAAATCCAGGAAGCAATTTTTTTTTTTTCCGTAGCCCTCTCGCTATCTCAGCGCCTGGCGCCACTTGTACGCGGGACCCACGGGACGCTGAGGAGTCGGCGGAGTAGTCCTAGCAGTCCTAGGCCGCTCCCAGCAGCGGCACTTTGTTCCTCGAGCACGTTGTTCGTTCACGCCGTCAAGCCGTTTTATTCCGCATCGAAGTTGCAAGATGCTGCGGGGAAACTACTGCGCGAAGACTGTCAAGGAGAAGGTGGAGATTTTGCGAGAGGTTGACCAAGGGAACTCGAGCAAATACGAAATTGCGAGGAAGCACGGCATACCGCCAAGCACGTTGTCAACCTACATACGCAACAGGACGGTCATTGAAAACGCCTATGAAGCCGAGGATTTTGGCGCCAGTCGAAAAAGGCTAAGGACAGCGAAGTTCCCGGAACTGGAGTCAGCTTTGATTATCTGGGTTAAAGAAATGAGAGCCCAGAGTATCGCATTGAGCGGCCCTATCATCATGGCCAAGGCAGCCGATTTCGCCCTGCGCTTGGACATTGAAGACTTTGTCGCCTCCGAGGGATGGTTTCATCGTTTCAGGGAGCGGCACAATCTCGTATTTCGCACGTTATCCGGCGAGGCAAAGGAAGTGGACGCCGAAACATGCGCTAGTTGGAGAAGCGACACCCTGCAGCAGTACTTGGAGAGCTACGCACCACAGGATGTGTTTAATGCTGACAAGACAGCGTTATTTTTCAAGTTGCAGCCAGACAAGACGATCACCTACAAGGGAGACAGCTGTGCCGGCGGCAAGCGCAGCAAAGAGCGTGTCACTGTTCTGGTCGCTGCAAATATGACCGGTACGGTAAAGGTCTCCCTTTTTGTGATTGGCAAAGCACTCAAGCCACGGTGCTTCAAAAACATTCGCTCACTGCCGACGGAGTACGCCGCAAACAAGAAAGCCTGGATGACAGGTGACCTATTCAGGAAGTGGCTACTGAAATTCGACAGGCGAATTGAACTGGGCGGCAGACGCGTTCTTCTTGTCGTCGACAACTGTTCGGCGCACAAAGTCGACGTTGAGCTGAAAGCAACTAAGTTGGTGTTCCTTCCGGCAAATACGACTGCGGCCCTACAGTCAATGGACCAGGGTGTGATAAGGAACATTAATTGCTTTTATAGGCGTCACGTGCTGGAGAGAATGATTTTGTGCGCGGGCGACAGGAAGGACTTCAGCATTACGCTGCTCACTGCCATGCGCATGTT